GTTTTGATGAGAGAAATGGTTTTTGACAATTTTCAGAGAGTTTGGAGTGGTTTGGGGCACTTTTATAATTTTTGAAAAATTTCCTGTGCATGACAGGAGAGAACCAATAAAATTCAACTACAAGAGTTTCCATTTCGAGGCCTGCATAAATCCAGATTCAGTAGCAGGCTCTATTTCAAGCATAGAGCCTGACACCCAGGCTATATAGACCTTTTATATAAGAGTCCCGTTCGTACCTTAGGGACCGGTCATAAAGTATTTACTAGGGGGTGTGGAGGATATTTTTGGGGGGGTACGAAAAAAAAAGAGAACGTCTGAGGGGGTACGAAAAAAACAACAGAACCTCTAGGGGGGTACCAAAATCTTAGTACTATAGGTACGGAAAAAAATTACATTTTATAACTATTGTTGAATATTGAATGTATTTGTGCCCAGATTTAATTATTATTGTTGAATATTGAATGTATTTGTGCCCAGATTTTTTCTATAATTATTAAATCATCACAAGGTACATGTTTTAGTCTGACTCAAATATGTCAGATGATAAGTAGGATTCAGTAACCGTTTAACTTTTGGAGTACAAATCTGATACACCTGAATTGTCAACGCTAGCAAGCTCTGAGGGCCTAATTCCACGACGAGCGAAATGCGAAAAATTTCGGAATGTTTCTCAGCAAAATATTTCTCTTCGCCTGGTAGTTGAATTGGTTTCTACTCTGTTGCAAAATAGAAATAGCGAAACCAATCAAATGCTTGTGTTATTTTTTCGCACAAGTGTGTTTTCGCATTTTGCTAGTCGTGGAATTAGGCCTTGACACCGGCATTAGAACTTGATGAACCTGATGAGGAAGTGTCACATTGAATGGAAGCAAATGTTTTCTATTTGAAATAAACCCCAAACAAATTTTTCTGTTTGATCTTACCCTCAGCCCATCGCTAGTATGTCAGAATCAGAAAAAAACTGGTGACGAATCTGAGACTGCGGAAAATGTTGAGGATATGGTTACCACTACAAGAAGTGGGAGAGTTATCACAAACTGGAGAGTTTCGAAATATATAGATAAACGCAAGACAAATGTTAAAACAGAATTAATGGGGGTATTGAAAATTTTCACTTACATTGAAGGGGGTTACGAAAATTTTTCCATAGGTTTTTGGGTAACCTGAAGTTCAGGCCCTAATTTGAAATAGGGCCTGACACAAAACCTGTCTAGACCGTGGGACGCCCACATGTTATTTTTAGACACAACATGCAATATGATTGACAAGTGTTGTAGATTTCGTTACACAAAAAAATTATATTCTCATGATTCATGAACATGTCCGCAGAGTGTGCATTTTGCTTTTTAATTAAACTTAAAAATTCAAGGTACTTTTATATAATTAAGAGTCAGTTTCTCTATTTAACCGAACAGCAAACAAAGATTTAACTAGTCAGTTCTGTGCACGGCTTGACTGCCAAGCTTTCTCAAGGTCTCAACTTGCTGGACGCGGATATACTCTATTGACTAACGGGCTAACAACAGCAACAATGAAATTCTCAATCGTACCACGAAGAAGGCGATGTAGCTCAAAAAACAACGCCAGTAGGACCTGATATTAAAAATAAGACTTTTGCTGGCAAAGCCAATTGGCAGAACATTTCGGCTGTCAACATATAAGCTTTCGAATACATGACTAGTTTGGCTGTTCTTTCAGCGTCATGTGTCCAAAATTTGTCAAAGATTTTGATGAAGCCCTTTCAAAATACTGTTTGTTTGATTTATTTTCTGCCATAAAGCATAAAAGAAAAAGAAATTCGAAGAAATTCATAATGGAATTTGTTACGTGCGTTTGACCTTGAGCCCTAGCTTGACCGAGCTATTTTTAAAACTGTTGTTTATGTGAACTCGCAACCAATCAAAATCCTTCATGATGCTGATCAACCAATCAGATTTCCCGTCCACTAGGTGGACGGGAATCCCACAGCTTAGATAGGTTTTGTGTCAGGCCCTTTAATTCATCCTCCACCCCCTCTAGTAATTACTTTATGACCGGTCCCTTACCTTTTTGGATCTACATTTGAGATTTACAGTCAACTCGGCCCAATAACCAACTCAACCCACCGTTCAAAGACCAACTCTGCCCGCTTGTAAACTGACTAATCTAACATTAAGCAAGCTAGGAGCCATGACTGCGTTCTATCTTTGCAAATTTCGAGAGAGATTTGAATGATCGGTAATTTAATATCAAAACGGACAGATCGAGAATTTGAATTGAAACTTCGATAGATTCTTTAATTAAATTAAATCAAACTGGATGTTCTCAAACTTTACTCATCTGTACGCCCAATGCAACTGCAAATGGCTGTATTGGTTTGGGGCTATCTTTTGTAAAATATTAGCTTTCCTAATATGTCAAAGAGTAGTTAACAATTGGGCCAAGATGGTATGGGCCGAGAGTTGGTCAGTGGGCCGAGTTGACCAGCTTCCCCTTTTTGGATCTACATTTGATATCTAGGTAATCTAACTTAATAAATATTTGTTCTGTTATATTCTTTTGCTTGTTAAAAATTGTGAATATCGATCCAAATAAAATTTGTTTAAAAAAAAAAAGTGATAATTGATGCTTACCACGTGCACGTGCTTCGGGTGGGCGACTTCATATCAGTAAATTTTGTTAACTTTCCTGTCCAATTGTTGTCCTGAAACAGCAGATAAAACAAATATGAGTTATATCAATCAAAGCTGGGGTATTTCGGAACATTATTGCAAGAAAATTTGGGAGAAATACGAATGGAAAAAGCGACTATTTTAAAGCGAGAACGAAGCGCTTGAATAGGTGGCAAAGTGTATTAAAATTCAATGAATTTGCAGCACATGTTTCAAAACACGGCTAGAACTTGACAAGAACGGCGCACAAACGTTAAAAAATAGCTAAATTTAATACTAACCTATCCCTTTGCATGGCATAACTATTTTATTTCGACAAAGTTTCATAAAAATTATGCTCGATATGTACGGTTCTTCTTCGATACGACCATAGCACAGCCTGCCTAGCAGGCGTTTAGTGCGGGCGGGAGAAGAAAGGGCGTCGTTAAAATAAACGCCTGCCCAAATGCCTATGATTATTAAGGCATGGTAGAAAACCCGGGTAGCGGATAACCGGATAATCGGATAACCGGATAGTATATAGAGATTTTTTCATGGGAAATACTTACGTGTGGTATTTACGCACGCGTTAATTTGTTTTCGCAAATTAAACGAACGAGCGAGTGCAAAATTTGTTTACTTCGTTTTGTACAGTATTAAAAACCCGACAAATTTTCCATCTATTAACTCAAAATATGATTACAGCTTTTAAATTTTGTGCGCGAGCCATTTTTAGTTCGTTGGAAAAGACACACCCCCCTGGTTCACAAAATTTGAGTTCGAGAAATTTTTTTCATTATTTTACATTATAAGTACCCAAAGAAGCTATATATATAAAAAACCGGATACAAATAGGTGTTTTGCGAAATTGAGAGCAATTTCAAAACTGTTCAGTTCTTTTTATACACCCTGTATAATAAAACGATTTTTATTCTAATTTTAAGGTAAATATTCCATTCATGATTCTCATTGATTTCAGAACCGCGTTAGCCGCTATAGCCTTACTTTTTTGCTGTTTTTTGCCCACTTATGAAAAATGACATAAGTGGCTAAAAATGGACGAAAAGTTAAGGCTATAGCCTTACTTTTTTGCTGTTTTTGGCCCACTTATGAAAAATGACATAAGTGGCTAAAAATGGACGAAAAGTTAAGGCTGTAGCCTTAATATTTTGCTGTTTTTTGTGTGATAGAGTGTGGGAATGGGTATTTTCGGGTAGGGCGAGGACAAGGTTGCTAACGGTGAGGACAAGGTTGCTGACGGTGAGGACAAGGTTGCTGACGGTGAGGACAAGGTTGCTGACGGTGAGGACAAGGTTCCTGGCGGTGAGGACAGGGTTCCTGGAGCTGAGAACAAGGTTCCTGGCGGTGAGGACAAGGTTCCTGACGGTGAGGACAAGGTTCCTGACAGTGAGGACAAGGTTCCTGACAGTGAGGACAAGGTTCCTGACGGTGAGGACAAGGTTTAGGTAGTCCAAGAACCAAAAAAGTGGTACGGTACCAAAAATCGAGCGTAGTGTAAACGGGACTTAATTTTGCTAGGTTTTTGAAATGAAAAAAGTGGTACGGGTACCAATTTTATCTGTGCCGTACCAAAAATTGAGCGTAGTGTAAACGGGGCTTTAATGTCCCTGGTTACATTTCCTGGTTAATGGGCGATTCTAGCTATAGACTACATTTTGATCTAGGCAAGAACAATCCATCAACACAGCTAGAAAGAGAATGTTGAAATTAGTAAATTTGCAAACTAGTTTCGTTGCGAAATGTTGTAAAATGAGAAAAAAATATTGTGCTGCAAGAAATTCTTGTAAAGTTAAATGAATGAAACAAACTTGAGTTTAGATTTGAAAGAAGGGACAGGTAAACAGTGCAACAATCCAGATTCTTTCATTTGTTCATTCACTAATTCATGGACATAAAAAATCAGTTAGTGGTCATTCTTTATACCATTGAAAGCCTACCGTTGGAGTTCTTTAATAACCTTTTCATGACACTCTTTGCTTTCACTTGGATCATGATTCTTGTAGAAGTAAACTAACGCTGCCTGGTACAGTTCAGTCAGTGCAGTTGGTAACGGATTGTCTGAAAAAGATCGAAAACTACTTCTCTTCCACAGTGGGCTCATTATATCACTGATATTACTGTAAAGTACTACCTACATTGGACCCCCGTTAAACATATAGATTTTAGACAACTTTTGTAGAAGGCTTCCATACAGTGGCTAGCCCTATTTGAATGGGGGAGGGGGGGGGGGTACGTGGGGTGTAGGTGAAATTCCACCATTGCATATTAACAATTTTCCCCATAATTCTTTGCGAGCGCGGGGTGTTTCCTTAATGTTTCCTAAAATTATTAGTTTAAAAACTAATTTTGCTCCAATATTTGAGTTTTTCCCTTGCTATCCAATTCATAGTTTAATAGTTTAAATTTAATATGACTGACCAGCAAGGTTTCAATCAATCTGATTGTCTATAAACGTTTGATAAACTACAATTTTTGAATTACATAATATACGCTAAGTAATAATTGTTCATATTGATCATTTGATCTCCAATGTTCACACTGACTATATGTTTTATATTGTCAATTAACACTATTATGTAGGAACATGTTATTAATTCGATGGATAAAAATGTTACTTGATCGATAATAGTTAAAAACCTCTCTGGAAGAGTAACATTTGATCTAAAAGTATATATCTTCTCTGTTTTGATTGAGCAACGATCGTGAAATCCAAAAATATATATTAAAGTGCGTATGAAGTGATCATTATATCCCTAGAACGCCCCTTTAAAATGAACAAGATCTATTTTCGTTCAGGAGTTACTGAAGTTTTTGCGTTTTTATCGATAACGTCACATGGTTTGCACTGACCACGTGATATGTCATAAATTAGCTTATATCTCTGCATGTATTCTGTAGAAATAGTGGAAACTCCGAACGTGTGTGGTACTCATGAAAATACACATCACTACTGCAGTTATGTTGTCGTTATGGTAACACACTTAGTTCCAGATCCTCTCTGCCAGGAGAACGAAGTTCTAATTTATTGCAGTGTTTAACGATATCAAATTGCTAAAATGATGAAGAGATTATGCACACTATCCCTTACTAAGCGATGTCCTTTTTTTCAACTTTTTTAACTCATAAACTATAATATATAGTATAATTTTAGTTCACGTAATAACTTTGATAAGATTGTTGTAAATATAGTCGATAATTCATACTTTATTTTAAAATCTTTGTAAATTGTCATTGAAAAGCCCATTTTAGGGAATGTCAATCAATAAATTCAATTCAATACTATAAAAAAGATAGATTTCGCAGTTCAATCTATACCAAACCCATAAAACAGATTAGAGATTTATAGTGAGAGGACTGGGGCTGAAAATGTTTCCATGACAACAGCATCTCTGTTGCAACAATGTGTAATTCTAAAAGTGTATGAAGAAATATCAGGATTTTAGAAATCTCACGTGATAGAACTAATTGTTGAAGAGATTGCAGAGCCGCAGGTTCAATTCCTGTCAGAGGATCTACAGTTGTATTTTTCACAACTGTTCCTCGTTAAATAGAATTAAAATGTATAAAAATTCCACTCAAAATCCCTGCAACAATTGTGTAAGTGTTATATGAAAGTTTCATCCATTTCTACTGAGTATTGCCAGAGAATGAAGCTAATTTGTTTTAGTCACATGACCTGTGCAAACAATGTAACGTCATCAATAAAAATATAGAAACTTCAATAACTTCTCAATCAAAATAGATATTGACAATAGTGTTCATTTCAAAGTGGTTTTCTAGGGAAATAATAAAAATATTCGCTTCATATGCACTTAAATGCACCGAGGTAACTGAAGACGTCAAGTTACAATACACGCTTCCAGAAAGAACGTCATCTTGACTATAGAGCCTCGTTTTCATGATTCAGATGTTGGGATTTAACTAATGTTAGATACATGAAAACGAGGCTCTATACACGGATTCAAAAAATGGTTGTCATTCTTTTTTCTACAGAAAGTAATTTCAGCCAAGATAATCACTGCTGCCTTATAGAATACTTCAAGAATAACAGTCTTTCAAAGTATAAACATAATAGCATGTATTTTCTGTGAGAAATTAAATCTTAAAAATACCGAAGTTTAAGCTAGATTCAGCAAAGAAAACTGACTAGCCTCGTTTTGGTGCTTTTTAGTCCTTACAAAGAGCTTTAAATTTTGCTTACACAACTTGTTTTCAATCTTCAACTTTAAGACGTTGCTTTCATAAGCAGTTCCTCTAGTAAAATTGTTTGATTCGCCTGATAATAGAGTAGAAAATAATGCAAAGTAGTGGCAGCTAGTTTTCCAATCGGTCTATAGCCAAAGTGACGTATTTTCACGAAGGGTGTATTATGTTGTTGTGCAGAACATGAGAGACGTGAGATTTCTTCTCTTGCCCCACCGACGCAATAAAATTTCACTAAGAAAGAAACTGCACGCGTAGCCCTGGTGACGGTTGTTCAAAGCAAGATTAGCGCTAATCCTAGGTTAAAATTTAATCCGCTGTTTTGGTTTGTGAATTTCTGCATGTCTGTTCATTTCAAAACTTCAGAAAATAAAAGTTCTATCGATCCAGACACGATTTCTCGAAAATATATTTCTAAAGTTTATAAACAATCCGTTAGGTTGTTCGGGTTGACGTTTTAACCCAGAGTTAAGTTTGGTTAGCTTACAAACCAACTGGTTCCTGGTGTTGACCTAACGTTAAACTATTCCCACGCTACCGAAAACGTGACATTACTTGAAACTTAGGACTGCGAACCCTAATAAGTATAGCGCTGCCTTTGAACTGTCCCGTTGAATAAATTCAGTTTTTGTTTATCCTGGATAACTTATTCATGTTTTGGACTCTCCCAGGACAAAATTATCAGGAAATTTTAAAGAACGAGACAGTTCAATAAAGCGCTAAGTTATCCGGGTCATATGATTCAATTGAACCGAAACTGAGGTATCTGTGAAACAACACAATGACACAAAGTAGAGCGAAATCTCACTTCGTAATTTGCAAAAACCTTCCACTTTCAATATACAGCAAACAAAGTAGCTGCTTGTTTATTTTGCGCATTTGATTGCGATCCAAAACTGGGTGAAATCCCACAACTCTAAAAGATCGTGAAAAATCAGTTAAATTTTTGATGTCTTCAGTTAAGAAAATCTTTACAGTTTGTAAAGAGATAGTTACAGTCAAAACGGAAATACCTGCACACTTCAGCTACTGTAGTTTGTTGTGTAATACTGTATTTCTGTAGAAGCTTGGAAAATTTTACAGAAAGAAGCCGCTTATTCTTGACTTGTGTTTGTTTGTTAGCATTATTTTGGATGGAATATGCATTGGCTAATCAATAAATTCCAGCTATTAGTTATATCTTAATGCATTATTTTTGCACAAACATTTTTTCAGCAGCTACAGAAATACAGTATTACACGACAAGCTACAAAAGCGGATGTGTGCAGGTACTTCCATTTTGACTATAAATAAAATGTTAATCTATATACCTTAGAGAACGTGATTTATTACAAAGCTCTGCATAACTGATGTTTTGTGTAAAATACAGTCAACTTGGTGGAATTCGTCTTCAAATTTATTCAGAAATTGCCACAATGGAGTCCTGGAGCTTCCACTAAATGTTCCATGAAATTTGGCGTTGTTTGATTATATGTCCGACACGTGCCTGGTTGAATGAGTAGCAACTTCTGTTGGGGGTAACGAGTGAATAACTAATGTCCCATCCAGGGGATGTCATTGTCTCATATTCACTTAGAACGACAGAAACGTCGTATAACCTCAGTCTGACGAGCCGCTTGCATCGTTAAATTGTTCCAATATTTATTTCGCTTGGTGGCGTCATGACACTTGTCCCAGTCCACTAATCATTTATACAGGTGCTAATCCAACTCTTTAAAGAAGGAAGAGTTCACCATTCCATGCCAAGATACGCCATCTAGCTTTACACTTCAATTCTAAGACGTCTAGCTTTACAATGTTCAAAGTTCTCAACATCCTCAAGCAACCTTTCCCCCTCATCAGTGAAGTTACATGACCAAATACCCAAATATTGAAGACAACAATGCTCAAGTTTGAGGGTGTCCGAGAGTAATGACAAATATTTATCTGTGAAGGCATTGGACCCTAGATCCAACGAAGTAAGCCTACAACGTTCATCTCTGAGAACCTTACAGAAAGAAGGAAGGCATTCATCTGTTAACGAGCAATCACTCAGATCCAACTCAGTAAGCTTACACTGCTCTTTCCTAAGAGCACAACACAACATACGTACACCTTCACCACCTATGTCATTTTCACCAAGATTCAAGTTGATCAAACCACAGTGTTCATGGCTGAGAGCCTCACACAAGGCAGTCATGCATTTTTCTGTTAAAGAACAATAACCCAAATCCAACTTAGTAAGGCTACATTGTTCTAATCTCAGAGCAGCAAACAACGTACATACACTTTCATCACCTATATCATTGCTGCCGAGTGACAAGTCGGTAAGCCTACACTTTTCATCCCCAAGAGCCTCAGTTAGGTAAGGCATGCATTTATATGTTAATGAACAATTACTAATATCTAATACAGCAAGTTTACACTGCTCTTGTTTCAAAACATCACACAACATACGAACACCTTCTTCACCTATTGCATCAGAAACTAGGTTCAAGTCAGTTATTGCACAATGTTCATCACCAAGTACTTCAACAAGCGCAAATATGCTTCCAGTGGTTAAAGAACTGCTAATATTTAAGCGCTGAAGTTTATGCTCCTCTCTTCTCAATGCGTTGCATAGAGTACGCACGCCACCATCACCTATGTCGGACCAACCAAGATGAAGATCGATCAGCTGATTACAAATCTCATTGCCCAGAACATCACAAAACTTAGCAATTCCACATGAAGTGATCTTAGTCCCTCTCAGGTGTAACTTTTGCAGACAAATTCGATGAGCATTCTGAAGAAGAAACTCAATTAGACTAGACACACCAGCATCAGTAATATGGAAATCATTGAGGGTGAACTGAGTGAGTTTCGAATGTTCATGATTAATGCAACATTCTGAGTCTGTCAATGCACTAAGTACATGTTCCAGATCCAATTCAACACGGTAAACAATAGGCATTTCCAATGACAATTTCTCTATGCATCTTTCTTGCAGCAATTTTGTGACTTGAAGCAAACAATCAAAATCAGGTATCCCCTTTAAAGTTAAGCTGGCTAAAAAGTTTAAGTGCTTGCAAACAAATACCATTGCTGCATATTCACTTGAAGAATGCGAATGTACATTGTTTCTTATACAGGTCACACCTTTCAATGCAGAAGTTGCAGCAGTTTCTTTAGCAATACCTTCATCCTTTGTTTCTCTTAGACACTTCATGACCAATACTTGACTAGGATCAAGATTACATACAATATTTTCATCTGAAATTTCACAACTAAAATGTTCTGTGAAAGCCAGAACACAGCTTCTATATTGATCAGACATCTTCATTCTTCTTCCCAATAACCCAGCAAGAAACTGAAGCACTAAATGCCATTTTCCATGTTCAACATGGGAAGAAATGAATTCATTTATATCTTCAGGCTCCTTTGTTTCCACTATATGTTTTGCTGCAAGAAATTCTTGCACAGTTAAATGAATGAAACAAACTTGAGCTTGAATTTGAAAGAAGGGGACAGGTAAACAGTGCAACAATCCTGATTCTTTCATTTGTTCATTCACCAGTTCGCCATAAAAAATCAGTTGGTCATTTTTCATACCATCGAAAGCCAACCATTGGAGTTCCTTAATAACCTTTTGATAACACCCTTTGCTTTCGTTTCGATCATGATTCTTATGGAAGTAAACTAAAGCTGCCTGGTACAGTTCAGTGAGTGTAGTAGGTAATGGATTGTCATTGTCTGGATCATGTAGGCAGTTTAACAAAGTTACACACACTATAAAACTATTGACTGGAATGTAGCACAAGTTCTTTATTTCTGATGATGATTTTATATGACTCAAAATCTTTGGTTTCAGGTCATTTTTTTCATGATTAGCACAGAATTGTTCGACATACTTTTCAATTTTGTCCAAGGTAAATCCAATAATCTCAACTTTTCGATCAAATTTGAGTTTTGAGTAAACATCACTAGCTGTCGGTCTGCTAGTCACCAATATTGTGGCCTCTTCTAGCAAATATCCAAATACTATTTTGATGAAAAGAAACATTGCAGACATGGGAATATCGGGGTCATTGGAATATGTTTTCGATTGATCAACATAATTTTTAAATTCCTTTAGGTTAGAACAAAGTTCATCTAAGCCATCAAAGATAACAATGATTTTCTTTGAATTGTGTAAAATCTCTTCAAAAATGCTTTCAAATTTATCTTCATTAAGTTCTGCTCCGAAACGAAGAAATTTCTTGAGTGTTACATTTTGAAACTCACTCAAATTAAAGCATCTAAATTTGAAGAGGAAAGTAATCTTATCGTGATAAAATTCATCAACACCATTCGCCCAATCATGCATAATTTTTGTGGTCAAAACAGTTTTTCCAATTCCCGGGCGTCCGAGTGCCAAGATGGTACGTGGGGAATTTCCCTTGGTATCCTCGTTGGGATAAAATAAATCTTTTATCTCTTTCAGACATATTGAATGCTTAGGAACTTCCATATAAACATCATAAATCTCATGCCTGGTCATGCCTTTCAAAAATTTGTGAGGTGCTTGTTCAGTTTGAATAACAACATCAATAAACATGTCATCCAAACTTATGTTTGCTCCATAATTGATGTCAAGTGTATTAAGAGAAGCCTTTAAAATGTTTTGTTTGTAAATGTCAATACTGTTTGGAGTACAATTGTCTATGCCAGTAAACTTGTCATCCTCAGAAGGAATGTATTCCTTTTGAAGAAAATACTCAGTAATAAACTGTGAATCACATGACCAAGGCACATTAGATCGAGTGTTGAAACAAGGAAATTGGTACCATATCAGATAAGCCACTTCTAACAGTGTAATTATGGCAAAAATGACATTACATACAGACACAAATGTTCCCCAAAACTGTTTGTCCTGAGCAGCCGAGTTCGTACAAGTTACATGACTTGATAGAGTAACACTTGCATTCTGTGCTGCTGTTATGTTGGGGTCCGATTGTTTTATATCTGGGTAAACACAACTGAATTTTGAATCAAAACCACTTGGATATAATACATGCTGTAGGATGGTAAATAATATACCGAGCATCAAACGAGCCACAAGGTGGATAAAATAGAAATAGAAAACATATAATTTTCTACCTGGTTCAACGTTCCCTTTCTTGGCACCAGTTTCAGATTTATCACTTCCGCTCGAGTATTTTTCTGTTTCATCAATACGATTGCCAACAGCAAGCGAATAAATAACACTTACAACAACTACAGAACCAAAATTGAGCACTATGAAAGCATAGAATCTCACGGGAGAGTTGTAAGCGTCGTCGTAGATTGAAAAACACGTTTTCTCCACGTATATCTTGTGCGTTGCAAATTTTGTGTCAACAGCACAACTGAACTTCTCCTCCTCGCCGAATCTCAAAGCTGTTGCAATTGCTGCCAATATAACTCCACAGTGGAAATGAATAATCACACATACGTAGGCTAAGATACTAAATCTCTTGGGAAATACATAGTCTTTTATAGTATCCATCATCTTTCGTTGCGTCTACTGATATTTTTCTCTTGCGGTTGGGTGTGCTCATCGAGGCACTGGGGGTCCAACTAAGAGCTGTGTTATGAGTATGAATAAAACATTAATAAATCGTAATATGAATAAAACATCATAACGTAATATATTTCAATTATTGCACTTACTTGTATAAATCATAAGAGCTTGTATTTCCAGTGAATAGCTTCAAACAGGGCGCTTATATATCTTCAAAAACATTGCTTCGAAAGATTGTTCAAATATGGCGAATAAATTGACAAAACGAAAATATTACATGACGTTCTATCGAAACAGCAGAGAAGCAGAGATTGCGGGCCCTCGCCTTCCGCTCGCGCCCGCAATCCTTGCTGTTATTTTCGTTGGAACGTCATGTAATATTTTCGTTTTGTCAATTTATTCGCCATATTTGAACAATCGTTTGAAGCAATGTTTCTGAACATATATAAGCGCTTTATTCATATTACGATTTACTGATGTTTTATTCATACTCATAACACAGCTCTTAGTTGGACCCCCTGACCCCTGTGATCGAGGGAATACAGGGCCGTAGCAACCGGGGGGGCTGCAGCCCCCCCAATAATTTGCTAATAATCATTCTTTTTTCAAAATCATGCAAACTTTATCATTTAATCTGTGACAAATTGCAAAGAATGAAGATATTACTCATACTCCAGATCGTTCCTCGCGTAGAAATTTTAGCTGAATTTCTGTCGCGCATTTTCAAGAAAATCCCACAAAATCTGCACATTTTTGATGAACTAATGATTTATTTTGTCTTTTGCGTGTTGGGTCTTGCGAAAGAAAACTCTGAAAATGCCATTTCAGACCATCTAGAGACTCCAGATTTTCGAATTTTTCTCAAATGTTCTGCCTTCATTTCCGCGCAAC